TGTGCTTGAAATATCATAGTAAAAATTAAGTTATACTTATTAAAGTTACAACTGAGATTCTTCACTGCTAATAAAGTTAGAAGAGCAAGCTATAAAATTTCCTTGCATGCAAGTCACAAGTTCTGAGCTGCTCTGCATGTGTATCATTCAATTTACAATTTGACTCGCAATTTGACAACAACATTAGCCTTTGTGACATCTAAACATTGTATATTGCCATGCTAGCTTGTGCTCGCCCCTTCAATGTTCTACATTCGCCTAGTAATAAGCACACCGGGTTCTTCTTTATTGGGGCGAGCATAAGCGAGCCCCACTCAGGCGAAGTCTCCCTCCCTCCCTCCGTATGTATGTATGTATGTACGTACGTCTCCAGTCACGCCTATTCTGGTCACACCCCATGTGTGCACAATATCTATTTAAAAATCAATGATCTAATGCGGTAGCATTCTAATGAAATATTTTCATTGATGTGGGTGTGGTTGCAATGAAATTAAAATGGCACCTACCTTAGCCAATCTTACTTGCAGCAACATAGGACTGATCTCTTGTCAAGACACTTCATCAGCAGAGAAAATTCAAGAAAACACACATAAATCTTCAAGTTTTTATTAATTATGGTTGAATGACAGGATATAAAAGAACTTCAAATGGCTCATCAGAGAAAAGAGAGTCTAAAAGTACTGTGCTTGAAAATATCATAGTAAAAATTAAATTATACTTATTAAAGTTACAACTGAGATTCTTCACTGCTAATAAAGCTAGAAGAGCAAGCTATAAAATTTCTTTGCATGCAAGTCACAAGTTCTGAGCTGCTCTGCATGTAGGTATCATTCAATTTACAATTTGACAACAACATTAGCCTTTGTGACATCTAAACATTGTATATTGCCATGCTAGCTTGTGCTCGCCCCTTCAATGTTCTACATTCGCCTAGTTAATTTAATATATTGGCCAGTTGTCCGAAGATGCACTGCACTGCCCTAGGCCCTGAATATGAACTATCTGTTGATTAATGATTAGTGATTACGTTACGTAACTACTAGTAATTGATATCGTGTGACCATTGCCACACCCACTAGTAATTATACAATGCCAGCTCAGCAATATAAATCCCGATGCCGCCCATTGCAGTGTATCTGGTGTCCACAGTATATTGTATGTAGTATCATAGTGTTTAGGTATCTTCCTAAAGTGTTTTGTAAAGTTAAATACAAACAAAAAACTACACACACAACACATAAAGTAAAAAAATCATACCAAAATAGAAAAATAAGTTACATCATTGCTCCTGTAATTATCATTATCTTGTTCATCTATCTACTAATGTATGGGATAAGGTAAGTTATTGTGATGACTGGTAACTTACATGAAGCAGCAATCCTGTCAGCTAATGTAGAAAGAACAACATGATCCTGTTCCCTCAGTATAGACAAGAATGTACTAATGTGATCAGGACAAAGTTCAATTAATAATGTAATATTTCCAATAAAAAGTTCTACTCTTTTTGATAAAGACTGGTTAGTCATTCCATCAAACAACTCATCATACTGAGAAGAATCAATAATTTGTACTTCCTTACAACCATTAGCTATATCACGGAACTTTGCTTCTGAAGTTGAAAGGAAACGTTTCAGATCATTAAGGTGCTTCTTGAGGTCATTATGTGAAACAGGATTAGGAACATCTTTAGTACCAACAGAATGACCAGCATCTATACATTACACGATTGAATAGAACACGGTATGTACATTACTATTATTATACCTGATATATCTTTCAGTGATCTGTTAATATTGATTGTTCTTGGTTTACGTAATCCTTTCAATGGTATAGCATACTTCAGTACATGAACAGTATCAGGATGACTGCTGTCAGCATATATTGATACCAGACAAGATGGAGGAATTGTATTAATGTCAGAACCAAAATTATCTAAATCTCCTTCTTCAATCTATTAAAGCATATAAATAGCCAGCATTACTATTATACAAGTACCTGGCATGGTACTATATCAGGACTAACAGTCCAACCAGTTATTGGTTCATCCTGAGGACCAAACACTAGCTCAAGGCATCCAAAACAAGAATGATCAAATTGAAACTTAAAATTTTGTCTGAGTTCATGCTGACGATATTCTTTTCTAATGAACTACAATAATTCAACACTGATAATAACAGCAATAATATCAATTATGGATACCTGAATCAGAGCATTTAAATCTTTAGCAGCAGCGAATCTCAATAAATCTGGTCGTTCATAAAACACTTGTCCAGCATACACCGTAGCTTCAGGTATACCAGTGGAATGAGTAGATACAACTATAAAAGTTAAAAGTGAATTTGTTACTAATCAATTTCAATATTCATAGGCTCACTAGTTTTAGATTGTGATGTACTTAATTCAGAGTCTTCAGTACAATCCACTGGACCCTTCAACCCGTTCCCTTCTTCCTCTCTATCACTCCTTCCTACTCCACCTGCTTCTCCTTCTTGTCCTCCTGCTCCTTGTCCTTCTCTTTGTCCTTTACCCTCATCTCCTGAGTCATCATAAAAACAATAAAAGAACAATATTCTTTAGAAGTATTATACAACAATAAATCACATACCAATTGTATACTGAGAGCTTAATTCAGCAGATTCTGTACAAACAGCAACATGTGACTGCTCCTTGATACATGTATGCTGCTCACCTTCTTTCACCTGCAACAATTTTTGTCCTTCCCTTCCTCCATCGTCATGCTCTTCTTTCTCCTGCTTATTCTTTTCTTCTTGCTTCGGTTGACCCACAACTTGTTTGTCTTCTTTTTGCTGCTGATGCTCAGCCCCTACTCCTCCACCTGCTCCTTGTCCCTCTCCTCCTGTTGTCTCTCCCTTTCCTTTCCCTCCCTCATCTCCTGAGTCTCCATCTTCCTCTCCATTCCTCTCCTCATTCCCAACTCCTCCATTTTCCTCTTCTTTTATTGCAACAGTAGTTACACAGCAGAACTCACTTCGTTCAATCCATCCATATCTCTGGTATGCTGGAAACTCCCCTCCTTCAATTAGTGAGAACTGGTAAGGAAGACTAGCTGTGTGAACTGGAGCAACAGCAAATTTAAGATACTTGGATAAAGAAGGATCACTGAGATCAATACAGTGTTGCATTTCTATCCTCAGTGACTTGAGGAGTGGACTGGTTGATATTGCATACACTGCACTCACTGGTCTAGTATTATCAGGAAACCTATAAAGGAATTAATAACTAAAATACATGTACATGTATAGTGTGTAGTGGGTAATTTTTTCATGTTATTTTTTTTTTGTTATTTCATGCATCAAAAAATGAAATTCGTTAAAAATTTTTTGTCATAATCATTATTTAATTGTTCTAATTGTTTGAGAGCAAAATTAATACATCAGTAATATTTTCTTCACTAGACACATAAATACTAAATTATCAATTGTTTTCCCTCACAATAATTCCCCACTAACTATACAGACATTACTACATGTACAGTATATGTACTTGAAGTGTCCTCCTACAAGAGCTAGTACTGATACTTCTACAGTCTCTGATGCTGATAGACTATCCTCTGCTACACTAATCCTCAGTCCATACTCCTCCCAGTTCATCAGTTGAGGTTTGTCTCCTTGAACTAAGAACAACTTCTTCCCTGCTATTTGGGACTCACTCAGACCTTCCAAATTATCTGTAGGAAAGTATAACAACTGAAATTATGTATTGTTAAATTGTGTATGTAATTATGGACAAAGATGAGACAATGAACCATAATTCATGTAAAGCTACACTGAATGACAATGTACAGTACATGAAGCAATTTTAAAAATTCATAAACAAGCGTAACAGTGTAAAAAATATTCCTATAATTGATTTCACCACCTTGCAAGAATAACTGGATTTTAGTAGGACTTATAGAGGCTCTCTCTACCTTCTAATGCTTCTAGAAAAGTCTTTAGACAGTATCTCTATGTTCAGGGGCGTAGCTGGGAAGGAAATGATGAGAGGGCATAGAGAAAAATGGCGCGCGAAGCGCGCCGAAAATGTGGCCACACCCCCTTTTTAGCGTTCGTATAGTGCACTAAAATAGCATTTTACGTATTTTAAAAGCATCAAAATCTTACATTTTCAACAATGATTAATGTAAAATGAGTGTTTTGTTTCGTCTACTTCTCATTTCTTGTACATTTACTGCTGTGCAATGTATTATAAATGATTACAAGGTGGTTAATTTATATTACTAGATGGTAGGTAATACATGTCCAGCTATTGCAATGGGACTTCCGGTCGCATTAATTTAATGATATTCATTGGAATTACCATAGCAACGGCAGCTCAGCAATGGTGGATTGATAGGAAGCTTCAC